TGTATGGTGAAATCGAGGTATAATCATGCATGGTATACATGAGGGATTGAAGCTCTTAGCACTTCAAAATAAGATGATAATATGCCTTGGAAAAAGTTATGGGCAACCCCAGTTCTACCTTCTGTCAAGCACATAATGTGACACTTCTTGTAACGACCCTGGAAATTAAAAGGAAATATATATATTTATTTTAAGTGCGGAAGCGAAATAAAATAGATTATGATTAACATCCCTTACACAATAATTAAAACGTATAAATGTATGAAAGAATAAACTAACTAAAGAAAATACTATGAATGAATGCTATAAGGAAAACTAATAAATTCTTAGGCTTCTACTCGCCGTCTTCCTGCAGAACGGGCTCGGGAACTAAGTTCTCCTGATCTGAAATGGTTAAGTAAGGAATGAGCTACATTAGCCCAGTAAAGACATCACACTATTTCACTGTTACAGAAGTAAAGGTTGGTAGAAAACAAAAATGACTAATGGAGCATAATTTATAACAAACTCATTTATTAATAATAAAAACCGTTACTGTCCACTTACTTCAGTGAGATTCATGAAAACAACTTATGAGAAACGATAACATCATAAACATCAAAAGATCATGCACACTCTGTAACATAACACATATCATGCTTTTGTATTTCAATTATCAGACAATAAATTTCTTCTTTTATCAGCCTACTAGTATCCATGGGGATCCATAGGGGGTCCCCGCTACACGTGAACCATTCACATTAATAACTTAATTCCAGGGTTGTCCCCATACCCCATCCGGTATGGGCGCTAAAACCATAAACCTCAATACCCCGTCCGGTATGAGGGTGAAACGGGTCGTCCCCATACCCCGTCCGGTATGAGCGCCAAAATACATAAGGTCTCCATACCCCGTCCGATATGAGAGACCACGTTCCCGGTAGGGTTCTCTATGGATCCGGTCCGTCCACCATCTCCCAGGATATCTAGTCAGGCTGTCAAACATTATCCATTTATCAATTCACATACCTTTTTCTATTTTTTTTTAATCTCAATTATCCAATCAATCACAAACACATAAACCAGTAATGGACACCAAACAAGGCAACACAACATCGGGTTCATAATAATTCAAACCATAATAAATTAAACCGTGATTCATGCATACGAAACTATAAAATAAACACATCAGACACCATACTGCATTCAAAACTGTAAAATAAATCAAACAACACCTGACCAAAAAATACATCAGATTCGGGCTCCATTAGTAACCTTAATTAATTTTACATAACTATTAATTCATAACATACCATTTTATCATTTATTAAGCTTTAATGCCGTAATAGGAAATAGGGTGAGGGATCCTTACTTGTTTCGGAGTCTGAAATCAGGTTTTCACTGCGCCTACGGGCAGTCCCTAGATTCCCTGAATTTTTTCTCGGAAACTGAGACACACTTCCGGTACCTGCACATGTCCCCAAAAAATCCCAAATTAGACCCAGGGCCCTTTCGGCAATTTTGGAATTCCAGCACGGCGGCTCCGCCGTGCTTCGACAACGGCGCCGCCGCCCACAGCGGCCATCCGCCTCGGGTTGGCCGTTTCCTGCCGTTTCGGCCGAATTCGGCCAAACTTGCATTGGTTCTTGTGATAAAATACCCTTAAGGCCCTCGGTGGGCAAAAAAAATTCCAGAAAACTGAGACTTACCGGCGGCGAAGCTCTCGTGTGCGGCGACCCCTCCGGTGCGAGTTGCGATTTGGTGTTTTGCTCCAGACAACCTCTATAGAAAAGGACGATGGTCACAACGGTATAAAAATTACATCGAACGGGAACCGAGAAGGGCCTCATCGGAGGCAAAAATCGAGGAAACCTGCGGTGGTGCTGTTGAACTTTGGCGATATTTTTCGGCCAATTAGCTGGTGGTTTGGCTTTGATTTGGCCACAGGGAGGTTCAGCATCGAAAAACGAGCCAAGGGGAAAAATTTTACCTCGTTTGGCGACCAAAAAATCCTCTAGTGCGGCAGCGGGTTCCTCCGGTGGCTGGGTCGTCTTCTCCGGCGAGGGTTCTGGCGGCTAGGATTTGGGGTTGGGTGTGGATGCGATTATTTATAACCTTCTCCTTTTAATCTGAGTCGTCCATCATGATTTAATCTGAGTCGTCCGATCGGAATTAAATTGAAAATAAATACGGGCCGTCCATCGCGATGCGATCTGGGCCGTCCGTGCGTGATTAAATCTGGGCTGTCCACACGCGTTAGATTTGGGCCGTCCATGCGTGCTTTTGATATGAGCCGTCTGTACGCGCGGGAACAGATCTGGGCCGTCCGATCACGCGCACGTGGATCGCTCACGTGTCTCCATCCCGCGTGGCTTCCCGCGTCAGCGTCCCTACCACGTGGCGTCTCTTGGTTGGCCGGGGTTGCTGACGCAGCTACTGACGTTGCACTATTTTTTTAAATTACGTTTTGACCCTCGGTTTTCGATTTTCTTTTCAAAAACACTCCCATAATCCAAATTTTCACCCCTTTTTTCCAAAATCAATTTTAATTAAATTCTAAAAATAATTTTACCCCATTTTATTATTATTATTATTATTATTATTTCTATTAAATTAAATTAAATTAAATTAAAACCTTATAAATTAATTATTAAAATAAAACAAAATTAGACAAAATTCAAATAAAATTAAAATAAAATAAAAGAAAAATTTTGGGTGTTACACTTCTCTAAAGATATTTTGCCTCTAAGAGCAAGACTTGTTTGGAAAGGTATGCATTTTGATCACATTTTCCTTTTGTGTGGAAATGGTGAGGAAACAATTAAACATTTGCTTTGACAGTATGTATATGCTTGAACATGTTGCTAAGCGTTCATTGTCGATAATTGAATGAATCAACTAACCTATTTCATAAATTACAAGGATACATACATGAATTATAAAGAATCCATATAAAAGGCCGGTGTACCTTATAATATAAAGTACAAACATACGCCATAGTTACATAGGTTCCAACTCCACATGCGATTATCAAATTGAATGTTGATGCATCAATTATTAAGGATGGTTAGGCAGAACTACATATTGTGGGTCGTGACTTCGATTAAGAGTTCTTATTTGCAGGCATACAAAGAATATCGATATTCAGTTTGGTTGAGCTCGTTGAAGTACCAAGACTCTATTATGACATGGAATTGGTAGAGGTATGGGTTTTGATAATATCATTCTCAAAGTATATTGTCAGGTAATCTACAAGAATATATTTACTACTTTACTTATTAAACGGTTTTTAGTTTACTTACGTAGGATGTTTCTTTTATTAAATAGTTCTTTTGTGCCTTTTGACTCTTATGAGATTCTTAGATATTATAATTTGATTGCCTATGCCTTATCTAGAGAAGCACAATCAAATATAGTTAACCAAGGTTTGGTCCATTAGTACCACCTTGTTTTTCTTTCTTTCATGTTGTGGGGATTACTTCTTTTTCTTGTGCTTTGAAGTTGTCTTCCTCAACCCGTTAATATATTGCTTTTACATCTAACTCCAAATTTAATATGCAAAATTTATGTGCAATCTGCTTTTAAATTTTACAAAGTATGTATAAATCTTCTTAATAGTACAAATTTTACATACATGCCCCTTTTCACATGTAAATTTTGTACTTAGATTCTCATATCTAATTAAAATATTTACTAAGATTTAAGTATATTATACAAAATATTTAATATGTTAAAATTTCATCATTAACATATTTTATTATTTTTTAATTCTAAAATTTTTAGTATCCAATTTTTAATTTTTTATTATATTTATATGGTGTAACAAATATTAATTTATATAATAATTCAAAATAAACCAAGGAGTAACTATAGTTAGGCACGTGCAAATCCTAGTCTAAATTGAAAAGTTAGACCGAATTGGACTAGACCAAATATTTTGGTCCTTTCATAGGTGGACTAAATTTTTCAATCTAAACCGATGCAGTCTCGGCCTAAACTGATAATAAAATTTTAAGAAAATGCATTTAGAGCCCTTCTACCTTAAATTTTTAACGCCCCATGCCTCTCCTCTTTTCTTGTATCCTTTGTCCTCTTATGGTCTCGCCTCTCAAGTCTCATGCTTGGCTCACAGTCGTGAACAACTACTGCTCCTCCAGGCTCCAGCCTCAAGGCTCCAGCCTCTAGGCTCCACTCTAGTGCCTCAGTTGTGAGTCGTGAGAAACGCCTCTTATGGTCACATTTAGCTTATGGTTGCTCCTCCTCCAGCCTCCACTATAGTGTTTCACTCGTGAGTTGTGAGTTGTGCCTCTTTGCTTGTCTCTGTCCTCTTGCCTCACTTATAGATGTAGTTGTCCTCTCATCTCTTATGTCCTCTATTGGTATTAGTTGTTTAACCCACTACTTATTCAAACTTAGCTACTCCTCCTTTAGGCTCCACTATGCCACTCATGAAGTCGTGCTTCTCTACTTAGTCTCCTCCACCCTCTCGCCTCTCAACTCCCTATACTCCACTTCATTCAATTGCTCCTCCAACCTCCAGGCTCAAGCCTCTAGGTTTTCATTATGCTAGATTTAATAAATTTAATATTAAATATTTTAACATAAAACTAATAAATGCAGTTTATTCAATTTGGATCGATAACGAACCATAACTAAATTCAGTGCAAATCAAACATGACTAACCTATATGATCCATATTTTAATTCGAGGTTTATGTCTTTTTTGGTCCTGGTCTGGTTTCGACCTAGTTTAATTCAATCAGTTTTTGGACCAACACACAGCCCTAATCACAATCCTGATTTGCAACAACAAAATTAAACACAACTCCTCATTCAAACATTTTTTTATTATTTTAAAAAAAAAAAGAATTTTGTGGCTAACTAATAAGCTTAAATCTTTTCAAATAATTAAAAAAAAAAAACTTATAAGCTTAAATAAATACGCTTTTGTGTTTAAAAATTTAAAAATATAAATACCCTCTATCAAATAATTATTACTTAAAATTAAAGTAGAATAGAACGTGATTCAACAAAATTCTAGCATTAAAGGATAAAATGAACCCGTGCAATCAAATTCTTCAGACAGAATCCTCGCTAAAAGAATTACAAAAACGTCTGCGGAGATGGAAATAAAAAATGAGAAGGAAGGGATTAAATTGAAATGAGACTAAGTCCTAATTAGTCATTTGAAACCGAGTTGTTGACTCAGCTAGCTTCAGCTTTCTTTTGAACAAATTCTTCAATCAAATTAGCAGCGTCTTGAACAGTTGCTATGTTCTGGGAGCTATCTTCTTCAATGTTGATGTTAAACTCTTCCTCCAACCCCATTACTATCTCAACCTGCGCATTCGCTCCATATAACATATACATATACCTATACATATACATGCTTTTGCTGTTTAGACAAAATGAAACGAACTAAAGCAACATTTGGAGTTACCGTGTCAAGAGAATCGGCACCGAGATCCGTGAATTTGGTTTCAGGAGTAAGCTGTATCTCAGGTTTCAGAGCAAGTTGTTTTCTCACAATCTCACATACCTTCTCCACAGTCTCTGGCTTCGCTGCCTGCCAAATTCCTCTTATATTAATACTACATGAGGAAATAAACGTGCAGATAGAAGATATGAGGAATTAAGCTAATTACGTACTGCGCAGGAGATTCGGAAACGAGAAGCCTTTAAACCCTTGGCAAAGCTATATGAAATTAACTTCGATCTTGAACTTGAAATACCTACCTGTTCAACATAGATAAGAAAATAAAGAACTAGAAGTAGAATGAAGAATATGAACATCATGAGCATAGTTTTGTATCAAAGAACCTGGCTAATCCTGCTATTAAATTTGGTTGATGAAGCTTTGAAGCTAAGACAAGTAGCCGAGATTGAGGCCATTGAGAGTTGATTAACGAAAACAAGTATTTGATTTTTAGAAGAATTATGACAGAGACAAAGATGCGGAATCAGAGGAGAAAGAGAAAAGAATGGAAAGCTTCCTGAGCTCGTTTGATAGGGATAAATGGATAATCAAATCACTGGGAAGCCAATTATACTTACCAAAAGGAAATGTCTGTTCTTAAACCCATGTAAACGGTGTCGTTTAATGTCTGTGGGAGGGAGGACAGCAAAGAGCATTGAAATCGAGTGGCAAATATTGGTTGTTGTAATCAAGGCCTATCCGCAGCTGGACTGCTGCTTACGTGGCAACCGGACGTGTAGGTCCCACCTCACAAGGCAAGTTGACCAAGGAGTTCTACGTGTTTTTTTTTTAAATTGTTGTTAAAAGAAAAATGAGATGATTAATAAAATTTATGCATGAGATTTATGAGTACATACCATAAAAGTAGAATTTTCTAAAATTAATATAATTAAACTATATCAATTAAACCGTTTTAGTTATGATAAAAGTTTTAATTAGACATATATATGTATAAACTATTATATTTAAAAAATTTGTATAAATACTATTATTGTCATATGATTTTTATTTTTATATTAAAAATTATTTAATATATAATTCTAGTCAATTAAAAATTAAATTTTAATTTATATTAAAAAATTTAAACAGAAAATTATTGTATATATTATGCATTAATTTTGTTTTTTTATATTTAAAAATTATTCAAATAACAAAGAATTAAGACATGAAATTTTCAAGTATACTTATATAATATAATAGATTAATATATCAAAAGATAGTTGGAAGCTAATAGCAAATGATAAATATCTAATTTGCATAGATACTTAGTCATAAGATAACAAGAAATTTTTAGAAATATCATGTGGATACTTGATAATGATCACATAATTAAGAATGTATGATAGCTTACAACTACCACTAAATAGCATATGAATCTCTATCTATTACAAGCTATTATAGAAATTAATTATTTCATATTTATTATTGCAATAATTAAAGAAATAAACCACTAAAATTTAACAATTCTATCAATTACAAATATTTATTATAAAAATATAGAAACTCAGAATTTAAAGAAAAATAAAATAAATTAAATGCAGAATCAATTAATGAAATTATGGTTTATATTCCTTACACAATAATTTTGAATATCCAATAAAATTACGAAAATATTCATTCTAAAAGACAAACAAAAATTAAAGAAATAAAACGAAAAACGAATAATTAAGCATCCTAAGATAACATTTACTAGCACTTGAAGGAGTCTGAATAGTGAACTACTCACAACTCTCTTATTGATCCGGATTTTGATATTGGTTATCCTTGATTTAAAATA